TCCTGGCAGCTCTAACAAAGTAGCAGATGCTCTCTCCCGACGTGAATCTGACCCTGAACTGCATGCCTTATCTACAGTTATTTTTCCTGGATACGAAGACTTGGCATCTGAAGCCTTCCAAGATGATAAACTCAAACAGATTATACAAGACCTCATTGCAAAGCCTACTTCCCGAGCTCACTATACATTACACCGTGGCTGTCTCTTGTACAAAGGTCGATTGGTTCTCCCAAAAACATCTAAATTCATTCCCCGAAGCCTGGCGGAATTCCACAGCACACCCAGCGACAGCCATTCCGGTTTTTTTCGCATATATAAACGAATTGCTGGTGTTATTTTCTGGGAGGGGATCAAGCAAGACATCAAGGAGTTTGTCAATGCATGAGGGGTTTGTCAGCAAAACAAACACCTATCCTTAAAACCTGCTCGGTTGTTACAACCCTTACCAATTCCAGATTTGGCTTTTGATGACCTCTCCATGGATTTCATTGGCGGCCTCCCTAAAAGTTTCGGTTTCGACACCATCCTGGTAGTGGTGGACCGATTGACGAAGTACAATCATTTTATGCTATTGTGTCATCCTTATACGACAACTGAAGTAGCGGCCTTGTTTGTAACGGAAGTGGTCCGTTTGCATGGCTTTCCTAAGTCTATCGTTTCTGATCGGGACCGTCTATTCTTCAGTAAATTTTGGACTGAATTGTTTCGCTTGGCAGGTACTACTCTCAAATTCAGCTCCGCATACCACCCCTAAACGGATGGTCAAACGGAGGTGGTTAATCGTTGTATCGAGACATATCTTCGCTGTTTCACAAGTAACAAACCCAAGCAGTGGCCGAAATAGATTCATTGGGTTGAATTTTGGTTTAACACGTCCTACCACAGCTCTACTAAAATGTCACCTTTCCAAGCTCTTTATGGTCGGGCCCCTCCCACACTCCTGAAATTTACAGAGGTCCATTCCTCGGTGGAGGCAGTTAATCAACAAATGATCGACCGGAATGCACTGTTAGACGAATTGAAAGCCAATCTCACTGCCGCACAAGACCGTATGCGCACCCAAGCCAATGCCCATTGTCGGGATGTGTCTTTTGATCCAGGTGATTTTGTTTACTTGAAACTTCAACCTTATAAATTCCGCTCCTTGGCTCTCAAGCTCAATGAAAAACTCAGCCCTCGCTTTTACGGACCCTTCCAAATTCTGGAAAAAATAGGTGCTGTAGCCTATCGCCTAGCCTTACCTGACACTTCCCGAATTCACCCAGTCTTCCATGTGTCTCAATTGAAGCAGAGTCTTCATTCTTCTGTCCCAGTTCAACCCCTGCCGGACTGCCTTACTGATGAATTGGAACTGATGGTCTAGCCTGCTAAAGTAAGTTCTGTGCGAACTTTGTTGGATGGCTCTCACGAGGTCTTAATCCACTGGAAGGATTTACCTTCTCATAAGGCCACCTGGGAATCCTTTGACATTATTGATCGGCAGTTCCCTCACTTCCACCTTGAGGACAAGGTGAGTCTTTTAGGGGGGGGTATTGATACGACCCCTACTACTCACGTTTACAAAAGGAACAAGAAGGCCAGTCAGCGGGTGCGCGCAATGGGGAGTTAGTTACCCACGTGGCAAGAATCATNCTATTGGCATTCTTCTGTAAACCCTAATTTTTTCATGTTATTCACTATAAATAGGATTATAACTCTCATTTGGGATCAAACACATCTTTTTATCTTTAATCACTCCAAGAGTGAAGTTTTATATTCTTTCAAAAAAAAAAAAAAAAAACCTCTGAACCAACTTCACTTGCCAAATTCCTTATAGAAAATTGTTGATCAGGAGCTCTTTACTTGTTTGATTGAAGGTTTGTGTGTGTGGAGTCCACACGTATTTTCCCTGTTTTACACAATCCATCAATTAAAGACACAATCCATCGATTACTTTAATCGATGAATTGTGTAAAACAGGAAAGATAAGTGTTGCCATTAAATTGCATAAAGAATCTGGTGTTATTTTTAGGCCAAATCAAGTGCCTTACATTTGAGAATCAAGTGCTGAGGTGGAGCTGAAGCCTCAAATTCCATGCTTCTGGAGAGCAGTAGCGGTCTTTCACTCTTTACTGGGTTTGGAGATTTCCTTCAAGAATAGTTCAAAAGAGTTAAAGGGGTTCCGAATTGTCTATCTTTAAACTCTGATTCCCTGAGTTTAGAGATTAGATTATCCAATTCCTCTTTTTCGGGACCTGGAGTTAATTTTGGACCTCCAGTTTCAACCCTTTTCCTTTGTTTCTTCATGTCTTCCTCATAATACCTACTAATGCGATCAACATCTGAGTGTGAGATTTCCGGAAAGTCTACCGTCTTTCCGCCCTATTCACCAAAATATAGTTAAAATGGCTGCCACAATAGCTACAGTAAACTTTATCCTTATTTGTTAAGCAGGAGCTAAAAAGAGGAACTGGGTTTTCAACTGTTGACACCAAGTAATGGCGCTCTTTAATGAGCTAGCAAGAGATTTAAAGAATTTTATCTTCCATCAATTACAACCTAACATATTGTTAAAATTAAACAAAGATTTTAATCCATATATATAATTTACGCATGTATCCACAATTTATATCTAGGTAAACCGATACTAGAAGTAAAACAAAGATAATGGCCCTTGTAAAATCAACCTAAAATTTTTTAAAAGTAAAACAAAGATTAGGCAAACTTTTTTTTAAAGTACAAAAAACAAATAAAAATAAAAAGGAAAATTGGAGGAAATATCTCTTTCACTTTGAAAAAGCATTGATAAAATCTGAACCAAATCAAATTTGAACATTTTATTGATCTTGAATTGGAAGACTGATATATTATAGAAAAATTAAAATATTTATATCCCTAAGATAATTTGTTTGAACTTTGATGAGTAATTTATATCAAATAACGACATCACGTTTTTATCCCTTGGAAAATTCTGTATGAGGCTTTTCCAAGTAGAAGAAGGATATCGAGTGTTTTAGGAGAATGGGAGATCTCATTCCTCTTTTGGATTTGTGTCATATCCAAACTCACTTCCTTAAACTCAGATTCTCCACTTGATTATGATTTTACTTCCTTATTTTAGAGAATATCCATGAGGTTGCGTTTGGTTAGGGGTCTAAGAATATTAATTTGATAATATATCTTTGATTCCAAACATTATTTTGTGTGGTTATCAAGTCATAAAAGATTCTGATAATCTTCTAATATCAAATTCAATAATAATTAGGATAGGTAATATATAAGATCATCTGATTGAATAATACTACATGTACAAACTTTTTATACAAACTCACTTATACAAACCAGAAATTTTGATTACTACATGCAGCATTACCCTATTTGATTACTGACTGAGAGGGTGGTATTCTTTGATTAATCAGAGTAATCCAAATTTTATTCCCGTTTTACCTTTAATTAATAAAAATTTTGGACACAAATACCCTCATATGTCTACCAAATAACAATTAACCCAAATGAACGATATGGCTTTTATAACCTCATAAATTATTTTTTTGGACAAAAATACCCCTCGCTAAACCCTAAATTAATCTTGATTTTGTTATAATTTTACTTCTAAGTAATAAAAATTTTGGACAGTAATACGCTTGTTCTGAAAACTATTTACATGAATACCACCCAAAACACCCTCGCCATCGAAGACGATTGTCGGCCACCACCAATAGTCACCAAAACGGTGCACGACCGACTAGATTTGACCGGTCATACGTCGATTTAGCTGAAAATCTAATAGAAAACAACCAAATCCATGGCCAGAAACAACCATAGGCTTCTGACTAGATTAGCGCACGGTCAACCAAATCTAACGGTCGTGCAACGTTCCAACGATTGCCGGCTATTGTCAACGATGGCAGCAAGCGGCCAACAATCTTCTTGGGTGGCTGAGGGTATTTTGGTAAATTTTAAACTTTTATTGGGGTTAGAGTGTTTTAGCTATATTCTCAAATATAAAGGGTTAAAAGTAATACTCTAAATATAATGTACAACAGTTGATTAATTTACACAGCATCCATGGAAAATAAAGACAGAAGGGGCAGGAGTTTTTCCATAAGCCTTCAGTTTTTTCAGGTTCCATTTTCCAGGAGCTGAATACAATGTACAACAGACAATTAATGGGTGCACTTCTGCACCTAAGGATCAGGTTGTCCAGCTACTGCTTCATCGCTTGATGCATATTCATCTTCACTCAGCTCCTCATCACTTGATTTTTCCTCTGCGGCCAGACCAGCATCTTCTGGCTTGGCATATTTCTCACAATACTCTACAAAATCAGACACATCGTCCATGGGGTCAGAGCTCGGAATTTATATCTATGCATCACCACGATCAATATAAACAACATTGTTGCATGTGGGTCAAACTCAATGGTAACTTGATTGTGACTCAAAATTACATTTTCTGGTAACAAATACTTCTAAACTTTTTTACACTCTCTGAACCCAAAAATAAACAATTTGCAGCCAAGGAGAAACAAAGGACATTCATATATTGCCTAAGAGATTNTATTTCTATAAGCATTGTTATATTTCTGTTCAGTTTGGAGTTTGAACACTGTGGTTTTGAGTTCCGAATTACAATCCATTGAGTGGTGTTGCGTTAAGGGTCCAGGTTCTCAACACATGAATACCACCCAAAACACCCTTGCCACCGAAGATGACTGTCGGCCGCCACCAATAGTCACCGAAACGGTGCACGACCAACTAGATTTGACCGATCATACGTCGATTTAGCTGAAAATCTAGTAGAAAACAACCAAATCGATGGCCAAAAACAGCCATAGATAGGCTTCCGACTAGATCAGCGCACGGTCGACTAGATGTAACGGTCGTGCAACGTTCCAACGATTGCCGACTATTGTCAATGATGGCAGCAAGCGGCCAACAGTCTTATTGGGTGGCTGGGAGTATTTTGTTAAATTTTAAATTTTTATTGGGGCTAGAGTGTTTTAGCTATATTCTCAAATATAGAGGGTTAAAAGTAATACTCTAAATACAATGTACAACAGTTGATTAATTTACACAACATCCATGGAAAATAAAGACAGAAGGGGCAGGAGTTTTTCCATAAGCCTTCAGTTTTTTCAGGTTCCATTTTCCAGGAGCTGAATACAATGTACAACAGACAATTAATGGGTGCACTTCTGCACCTAAGGATCAGGTTGTCCAGCTACTGCTTCATCGCTTGATGCATATTCATCTTCACTCAGCTCCTCATCACTTGATTTTTCCTCTGCGGCCAGACCAGCATCTTCTGGCTTGGCATATTTCTCACAATACTCTACAAAATCAGACACATCGTCCATGGGGTCAGAGCTCGGAATTTATATCTATGCATCACCACGATCAATATAAACAACATTGTTGCATGTGGGTCAAACTCAATGGTAACTTGATTGTGACTCAAATTTACATTTTCTGGTCACAAATACTTCTAAACTTTTTTACACTCTCTGAACCCAAAAATAAACAATTTGCAGCCAAGGAGAAACAAAGGACATTCATATATTGCCTAAGAGATTCACAATTGGTCAGATGTTACGATAACATGGAAATTTATAATCTCCCATCCCTTTCGTTAACCACTACATGGCTACACTGAACAGAGTTGATACTGAAAAGACAGCCTAACAGGCCAACAGCAATAAAAACACATCATCTCTCATGCTATATATAACCAATTTTATAGAATTACACCAGAACACTGCAAAGTTTCCCTAGTAAACGAAATTCTTGTAAAGAAATTCTTTGGAAAGATCATGCAGTAAAGAAAGCAACAAACATAGCTGCTCTTCAACACCCTAATAATTTCCAATGTTTGATATAAATGACAACTAATCCATCCTTTCCACGTCTAAATAGTAAATACAACCATGTTCCCAGTTAATGTACTAGCTGAATGTATCTACCTTCACCAATTCTTCCCAATTTATATGAATATATAACTTTAACAACACTTGCAGCTCCAACCCACAGGAAAAACCTTTTGAGATTTAAAATTCTCCTCTAAAGCTATGCAAGTAAAGAGGGTTGAAGTGTTGGATCTTGTTCAGCTTAAAATGACTATTATATGCATCCAACCTTGCTCCTATAATCAGAGAATAAAATAAGGTAAACAGTTTCATTCTTCAAATTCTTGGAAGTAATATGTCCCTGCAATATGAATATCCACACACCCCCAGAGCCCTGGTTAGAAGACAAGGCACATTTCTGTTGGCTTGATTTCATTTCTATTACAGAGTGAATTCACAACTCCCTACAAGCTAAAATCAATTAGGAAAGGATAATGGTCCAAACCAGAGCACATATAGTTTAGTCAAGGATCTGTCAATTAAAAAATTGAGAAAAATGAATTGTGGATTTGATACTCAAACAAGTCATCTGGAAATGCGAATGCACAGCTAGAGACATAAGTAATTTTTAAGTTGATACCTTTCACTCTTTGTTCGTAAGTATTATGATCACGCATCATTAGAGCACCAGCTTCTCCATTCATTGGGTGTGATGGGTTAGGATACAAAAGAAGTTGAGGAAGAAAAACTTCAAATACATTAACCAGATCTGCAAAGGAATTTGAAGAAAAGAAAGTTCAGTCACCAACTTCACATGGGAACAGCACTAAAATGACAGGCAAAGCAACAGGAAAAAAGAAAGTTGAAAGAAATTGATATCAGAGCTCTGCAATATTTAGCATGATATTGTATGAATAAAAGATGATAATTTTCAAAGTTTACCAAACATAGGGCTCCAAGTTTCATTGATAACATCTAAACAAACTGAACCAGACCTGAAACTCAAACACAACAAAATAATTAATGTCCTCAGCCAACTTATCAAAATTGACTGTTCCATATACAGACCATAAAAAAAATACACCATCATTCAAAAAAGTAAAAGTAGTGAAATTATAACACAACTCACATTTCATCAATATTTGGATGATATATCTTGTTAACAAAGCCAATAAATGGAGAATTATAAGGATAAGCATCTGGCAGCTCCACCCTTATCTTCCACACACCTCCCTGATAAGGACCTTTCNGTTTACCAAACATAGGGCTCCAAGTTTCATTGATAACATCTAAACAAACTGAACCAGACCTGAAACTCAAACACAACAAAATAATTAATGTCCTCAGCCAACTTATCAAAATTGACTGTTCCATATACAGACCATAAAAAAAATACACCATCATTCAAAAAAGTAAAAGTAGTGAAATTATAACACAACTCACATTTCATCAATATTTGGATGATATATCTTGTTAACAAAGCCAATAAATGGAGAATTATAAGGATAAGCATCTGGCAGCTCCACCCTTATCTTCCACACACCTCCCTGATAAGGACCTTTCACATTCCACATAAAACTTCTCAAAGAGAGGTTAATAAAAAAAAAATTAAAAAAAAAAATAATAATAATAATAATAATAAAAAAAAAAAAAGACAGAGAGAGAGGGAGAACATTTTGTTCCAAACCAAAACTACCCAAATTCATTTACCAATAAACTCTATAATCACGGAGGAAAATCAATGAACAACAAAGTTGTAGCTCGTATGATAACACATAATTAAGGGAAAAATAAACATAAATATAAATAAAAGGCAGCATATATCAGCAGTCAAAAAGTGATCAAATCAAAAAACAACACCAGATTACTCTGAAAAAAGCAATCAAAATCAAGTGGAAAAAATAATGCTCTATTTACAGTTAAATCATCAACTTTGAGCATCTACACCTGGTCTTCACTGTTATAGAAACAATCAACCGAAAAAATAATAATAATCCAGAAAGGAAACATAAAAAAATAGTTGAATTAAACTCATAGATCATCTAAAAACAAAGAAACATAAAAGTGAATTGATTGTTTTACTCTCTTTTGGTCCATTGAATTCCACATAGAACTCTTGCATGCTGTCATTGATCGTCTCCACCTTATAGTCACTCATCATCCTAGTTCACATCAATCAAACCCAAAAAAAATAAATTAATTAAAAAAAAAAAGATAAAAAAATCAAAATTATACGCAAACCCGAAAATTAAAAAAATAATAATAATAATAAAAAATTACAGTTTCATCAAATCCATTTCTCGGCGTTTGCTTGGTGAACACATTTTTGGGTTTTAATTCGTTGGGATTTGGTGATAAAAAGATTAATACAGTACTTTCTCCAGAAACAGAGAGAAGAAGCAAAGTGGGTTCAGACATCAATGAGTGAAGCGAGGACTGTATATAGATGCCCGCAAGCCGGCTACATAAAGTTTGCAGTAATTTTCTAGTTTTTTACTCACAACCATAACAGCCCATTGTTGAAAATTTTCGGCTTTTGCAAGTACCATCGCCTAATTATTGAATTTTTCTACAGGGTATCTCTGTAATGATTTGTGTGAATAATTTGCAAATCGAATGACGTGAAAATAAAAAAATCTATTAAAAGGGTTTTACCGGTATTCCCATTTTCATATTAAATTTGCGTCATATTTATCAATGGTAAATATAGAATAGAAGAGGAAGGTTAGCAACACTTTAATAATAAAGAATTATTGGGTGAATTTTATTTTCAATTTTGTATCATATTTCGCAATTTAATATGTAATTTAAAATGGAAAGGGAAAAAGTTAAGTGTCTAACCTAAATTTAGAAAATGAAAGGGGGTATGAGAAAATTGAGATTTTTTTTTTTTTTTTTTTTTAAAAATCATGTGTCCAAGCTCAGTTACACCCATCTGGATTAATTCTGTAGATGACTAGCACAACATGCTACCATCATGATCATCTGATTAAATCTTGGGAGTCAGTGGATTCAAACTTAAAACCGTATACCTTAACCATACATCTTAATGCTCGTCGTACCACTCGACGAAAAATGAGATGTTGATGTTTGAAAAATGATGAGGATTTTTTAGCAATGAATATTATGCTTTTGTTCTCTTGATATGTGCATCACTAGAAGAGGAAAACAAATTGAATAATTACAATTATAAGATAAGAAAAAACATCTTTTAAATTAGCAAATTAGGTTAAAAAGTATTTTTTAAGATATAATCATTTATAAATAAAAATTACAACTTTCATCAAGGTAATTGAAGGTTATGATTGCTAATCTATAAAATTCTTAAGAGTTTATGAATATGTATTTGACAATTCCAATTAGACCCCACTTGTGAAGGTGGCTTACAACTAAATTATTTGATTACTTTTGAAAAATCTTGCATCATTAAACAACAATGTTAATAATTAATACTAGAAAAGTAAAATAAATGGGGGTTAATGAATTTCTCAAAAATTGGGGGAGCAACGGAGAAAATGCCCGGTAGTAATTAAAATAAAAGATTAAAAAAATAGAAAAAAAAAACTTGGTACCAGCAGCAAGATTCCACATAGCTTAAGCAGAGTATTATTATTATTATTATTATTATTATTCTTTGTGATGGGCTGGTCGGACCTATCAACAATTGGGAGGATCTAAATTTATAATCTTTTGAGTAATATATTTAAGAGTTTCTATCACCATATCCGAACACTTAAAATGATTACTTAATAGATTATTATCTTAAGTTCTTCTATCACTTTCTTGCTTATATTGCCGCCACCAAAACTGTTCACACCTTCATTATTTTATGATAAAGGTGGCTTCTGAAATCTTTTGCTTAATCTTTTCCTCTGCATAAATAACCTTTTCTTTTCTTCCATGACTTCAATTACAAGATAATTTTACTAGTTTATCAGTTGATAATGGAATTGGGTTAAGAATGGAATAAAATAAGAAGGGTAGGAGAATCTCCCACATCTTTGATTGTCTTGTCTTGTCAGTTTTAACCTTTTGCTTCATTGACAATATGAGTAGTCTCCTAATTCCGTGTATGGACAAGAGTAAACGGTCCATTTCCAGTGAAATCCAAAGTTGACACCCTTGGTTGCATTTACAAAGACTTTAAACTAACATCTTTAATGATTATTAGAAGTGATTGAAAACAAGGTTGATAAGTGAAAATATAAGTTTTGTAGAGGAGATTGTAAGATGTCTAATGGTGGTCTTAAAAGTGATTTTGGACTTCGGAATTGTTCGGAAAAAGCCAAAAACCATCAGCTTAGACATTGCTAATGTGAGTTAGTTTTTCCTAATATAAGCCTGTCTTTGCCAAAGAAAATGCTAGCGTGCTAAGGTGCGTCCTGCTATGGTGAAAAATTAGGAATATGTTAAAATAAAGGAAACGACGTTATTTTAAGGGTGAGAATCTAAAATAAATGCAACCAGAGATATCGACTTGAAATTCGCTAAACCCAAGGAGGAATATTTCGTTTGCTCTATCAACAACTCCAAATGTTAAGACTCATGAGTGGAATCTATCCTTTTGATATCAACCTTATAAACTGATTGGATGTAAATGAGGCAAATAGGTGAAGAAGGCTAAAAATATTTCCATCTTTTGCCATATATTCTTTGATTGCTTCGAAAGTTATACTGAGTTGACATCTTCATACAAGAAAACTATTCTGAATAAAGATAATGGCATATCTCAACTACTGAAGGGGATTGAAAGAAAATTATTAGAATGTCAAATTGCAAAACTAGACTACAGGGTTTGCAGCATGATCTTTTCCGGGGCTTTTTCTATTTCTGATCAGGGGTAAGATTTTTGTCATACATGGCCATGGGGTAATTGCATCCAGGAAAACTGTAGGGCCAATATTAGCATCTTTTGCCACTTGAAATGTTACCTTATTTGTCCCACAACTCATGAAAGAAACTTTTTATATAAGAAAACAAGTTAAGACTACTTTCCAAATTTGGTTGTCATCATCTTATCGACAGTAGCTGACTTAGCATCTACACTATGGTGGTAAATTCAAGATCTTTTACAAATTAATCTTCATCCAACAACACAAACTTAGAGAGAGTAAGATGATTAAAAATTTCCAAAAAGTACAGGGCCATATTGCACATCTAAACAGAAAAAAAAAAATGAAAGAACAGTATGTGTACCTCTCCTACCTTCCCTATTCCTTTATCCATCAAAAGCTTTTTATCTGTATTCATTGACAGTATACAAAATGCGGCCATCGCATTGGATAACAAAAAGTTTACTTCTGAAAACTTGAAAAACTTGATGGCCGCCATGAAACATTTTACACATTTTACCATATTTTGTTGTTTGGCATCATAAGAACCCTGCCAGGTCTGCTTCCACCCTCCCACAACTTACCTTCAAATTGCGTCACTCTTCAATGTGATTACTAAAACCATCAAATCTTCATTGTCATTAAGTGATGCTTCATTGCTAAAGAGGAAAGAACCTTAAACTTTAACGGTAATGTACCACCCATGGGACTTGAGTTCCTAATTACAGTACTCCTGACCTGCATTACACATCATCCAATATGTGAACTGATTTTTTTATCACATATCTTATGTCGGAGCCAGGAACCTTCACTGCTTCATGCCCAAAACTGCCACTAACAGATCCAGTTCTGATTCATCATCATCACACGTGCGATATCCCTTGGAGTCCACGTTCTGATAACTTCTGCGGCGGACAAGGAATACATTAAAGTAATAGCTTACTAAGTCTTCCTTGTCTTCCTATAAAGCATTTGATGCATTGCCCCACAAGCGCTTACTCAAGAGTGAGGATTAAATTTTTATCTCCTTAAATCTCTTTCTTCTTCAACAGTCCATCGAACTGAACTTCCTCACCCTCCTATCAAATTTCCATAAAGAAAACAGAACCCAGCTCAAGCTTCAATTTCATCCTTTCTCAGCAATGTGAATCTAACACATTCACAGAACCCGGAAGCGAACAGCCACTGTATCTGATCTTCCCCTCCCAATGGGATCCCTTTCAATTAGGGTATTTTTGTTCTCCATCTACCAAAGCCATAAGCTGTACCTAGCCACTTAGGGTTACTCTCGGCAACCATGCCTGTCCATTCAGGACACTACTTGAAAGAGGTCCAATGGCAACATGCTTTTCAAAGGGCCTCATCTCCACAAGAGTCCAAACGGTTGTTTTGTGGCCAATGAAATAATTTTCAGAGGATTTTCTCCTTTTGGTCCGTCTCCAACTCTCTCTGCGAGGACTAGTCAATTTACCCTCAGTTGCAGAGACATGAATTGCAACAAGAGCATAAACGAGATTTTACTGAGGTAGGAAGCCTTTCGCTGCATCTAACCTCTCTATAGAATAGTGACTAGCGATTTGCAATGTCCTCATACATGGATGGATGTATCTTTTTGACTGTTCTGCAATTTAAACCATGATCTATTCACAGATTGACAATTGATTCACTACATTTATGAAACAGCAGAGGTTTAGTAAGTCAACAACAACTTTTACAGTTGAGCAACGCACAAAGTTGCAGTGTATTTGGCATGCAACAAAGAGCATTACCATGTGTTGCTATATTATTAAATTCATTATTACTTTCCCATTATGTTAAGCGACACTGTCTGTCACTCATAGTCATAATTTTCTGTTATGATGATTACTTGTATAGATTTTATGACATGTACTGATAATAAATGCATGCAATATAATACCACATGATCTTGAATACTGTTGTTTAAAAGCCCCGCAAAATATAAAATCCTCAAGTTCATGCATCTTTCCTGGTTTCAAGCATCTGATAAGTTCTCTACATTAACTGCCCAGTTCAGAATCTTTATTTTTCAACCTCTAGTAGAATCTACAATAAATAAAGCTATCAAGTATTCTCTCATATTTTATTGCCAAATTCATTTATAGACCTCTGCAGTTCAACCCATAATCATGTAAAGAGGGATTGAATGGATAACATATATGATATCCTTCTTAGGTTTTAACTGAGTGATGGGTATCAGTGGCAAGAATATGCAGGCTTCAAATTTGGTCATTCTGGTTACCTTAGAAAAGGAAATCTTATACTCTTTGCTATTTAGCGCACACTTAATTAATATAATAATAACCTCTATTAATGGAAAACACAGTAACTTGTAGCACATCCAAAAAACCTTGATGAAGATAATATGAATCAAATTAGGTATACAAATCCCGTCTACTCTCCCTACCTGCAAGGGAGACTGTTTAATGTTCGAATCAACTGTCCTTCTTTCGTAGCAATGCATCTCGTGCCCTGATTGCCTGCACACCCAGCGTCTTCCTCTTCATACTGCTTCCACTTAGATGGCTCACGGAATTACCCCAACTGAGGATCATCAGGGATGCTGTGCAATCTGGATAACCAGTTCAACTATTCCTGATAAAGATTCCCGGTTCCCTCTTACGATAAGAAAAGTTTGTTTTTGACCCACAATGAGTCATCATTAAGTATTTTTCATCGTCATCAAGAAATTTTCGTCCATAGTCACTACAGCTTTTTGTCATGTTTTATAACACAATAGATCTTCACATCCTACTTTTGTTATTCCACAAATTTAATGCACTCTTCTCAATCCATATCAACATACTACCATTTCTCTCAATATTCCACCAAAAAGCCTATCATCTTTGTCTTGTATGGCCACTTCATTAGCAAATCCCTAAACCTCCCTCTCTAACTCTCCAACGCAGTACAAAAACCCGTGATTCCCACCACAATCTGCCCTCCAGTTTCCCAACTTTTACTACCGTAGTTCCCATTAAACCATCTGCATCTACCCTAAATCCACTATATATCAACTAAACCGAAGCCAAAACACAAAGTCCAACCCCAACTCCATCACCACAAAAACCACAAAACCTTTTCGGACACCTTATAAACCACTCTCTTCTCTTCACAACCCAAAAGATTCGAACAATTCTAGTGACTGCGCCATCACCTAGCCTTGTCTGGAACAGGCCTAATGCAACCTTTACAGCCACCTCTTTCAAAAAAGCTGAAGAACCTATCAAACAGGCATTTCGTTTGTCCTTGTATAGCATCAGGGACTCATCGAAACTATCTTTCTCATAATTATTAACCTCAAGGTAACAACCATTACTCTCATAAACACTAATTTTCCCACAATCTGAAGCACTTAAAACTGAACATCCGGCCATGAACTTCTCTTACAATAAACAAAAAAATAAAACTAAACCCTCTCCTCCAAAAGAGTTTTTATTTTTTTACTTTTTTCTTTTTTCTTTTTTGGGTTTTGAGCGTTTATTTACAGATTGATATAAGCAAGAACAAAAGAAACAGATGGTACAAGATATACGAATTGAAATAAGAGGTAGACTTTTGAGCAGTTATGTTACAAGATATTACCTCATTTCTTCTGGAGCCAAAAGTGATCTCCTTAAGTCACAAAGGAGACAAAAGAGACAGCCATGATTAACGTTCGGTATGGTCAGGGTGACAACACGGGATGAAACTTGAAAGAAAGAAAGAAAGAAACGTTGGGGGTTGTATTGTTTTTGTGGGATCAAATTGAAAATTGGGAGATAAAAGGAGATATAAGAGACGGGTGATTAGAATAAATTCCAGAAGTAAAAGAAATGATATTATTATTTTAATCAAATACAAGAACAAGGAATAGATTTCGTCTTTTAAAAAAGCCGAGATTTGTTCAAGGCATAATTTAAGGACAAATTTCACATTAAAAAGAAGATCACATATTTCTTTTTCTGAAAATCAGAATTTTAGAAATTTAAGTTGTATGAATTAATTATGAAAGAAAAAATAAAAATAAATCAAAGTTTATTTATTAGGTTACACTCTTGAATCTTGATTTCGAGATAAATTTCAACGTTTGTAAGTAGGGCTTTATCTTACTTTTCAACCCCTCAATTTTCTTATTTAAATTTGACTCGTAATCTAGTTGGTCATTGACTCGTAATCTAGTTGGTCGTGCTTGATTTTTTGCCTCATATAATTCACAAAATTGTTATAAAAAATATTAATGTTTTAAAAACCGAAACCGCTCCTTGACCCGATCAAGGGGCCAGTTCTTGGATTGATCAGTCCGATTGGTTGGACCGATCGGTGTAACTGGTGCGCCACAAACACATTTCTGAAAAATTCTATCAGCCGCTATAAGTTTAAATCCAGCAAACACACCCCTAAAAGTTCCATATCAGTTCCTATAGGTTTGAAGTAGACGAACAAACACCTGTAACATTTATATATTTTTTTCTCTTTATCTTCATCACTTTCTTCTTTCTTCTATTACTTTCCCATCTCTCTTCTGTAACTTTCTTCTTCCTTCCTCTTTATTTTCATCTCCTCTTCTCTTTCTTTTCCTCCCCCTCTTTCTCTTCGTCCCGACTGTCCTTCACTGGTTTCTAGCCGTTTTGAGCGACGACAACCCCAACCGCCACCAGCCTTAGACTCACTAGCTACTCCCTTATAAAACCCTCAAAATTCCCAAGCCATTCCACCCATGAATTGCCGACAATCACAAGCTAGGATTTCGCCGTTTCTTGGACAAATTCTAAGCAAAACTCAACTAGACACCACCTCCCGACTCATCGTGATCCACCCTTTAAAACCTGCTAACCCCAATTCTTATTTGCTTGCCGAATACCTACTGAGAGCCACTTCCAACTACCGCGATTTGAATTGTTTTGGTGTGGGATTGATCGGATTTTCTACTGATTTTTTATTGGTTTTGGCTTCATAATTGCCTTGTACTTGTTTTGGTTGTATGTTGTTGCGTTTTCCTGGTCGACAACACCTCCCCACTGAGGCACCGATTGAAACTCCGACCTTAGAAGAATTTGAGAATTTGAGTTAACTCAGTTTTAGCAAAAAACCGATTAGACTGATGGTTCACTACATAAACACCAATCCAACCGCAGATCATAACGAGTTAATTACAATTCTGGTTTTCAACCCCAATCAGCCTAACTTTACGATTCGACCGGTCAAACCGACTAGACTGGATTTAAAAACACAACAAAATATAGAAACCTAATCAACAAATTAGCTCCACTGTCTTCTCTCTTTCGCCTACATGAAATACAATTCCATATACATTAAATAAACGTAGATAAGTCAATAACAATTTAACCTATATACTAAATTCATATTCTAATTTTTCATTTTAATTTTGTGAAGGCTGATAGGCTATAATAACCTTAAAATTAACGTAACATTTAAAAGGGTTGATTATAATTTTCCCTGAAATATCATTAACTTCCAGTTTTCTCCCTTGAAGTATTTAAAATAACAATTTAACCCCTGTTGTGTTGTCAGGTTCCATTCTCTCACCCTTGGTCCATTGACTTAAACAGAAACCCTAATAAGAACACTAACATTCTTACCTTCATCCATCAAATTAAACAGAAACCCTAATACAATATTGATGGCGGATATTTGAAATACCTGAGGGGAAATTGCGATAACTCTATTTAAATTGTAAAACTTGGCATTACTCACTTAAGAGCTAATTTTTGCCAGTTGTATAAATAAATCGACATATGCAAATCATTCCAGCAAGGAATATGCTCCCACACGCAATATAATGTAAAAATGTGATAACTCTAGAATTTTGTTGAAGCAGCAGCAACGCAACAATCAAATAGAAAAAAATTATACCTTGAAAAGAGAATGGATTATGTAAGTCTGTATAAGGACAAACTGTAACAAACTTTAATGTGAAAATCGAACTATTATGTACATGAACCATGTAAAACAAAAAATTCCCTTTCATTTGATCCTTCTATAATTTACACAAACTCCTACCATACTTCCTTTACACTACCAGATCCTTCATCAACAATTCGCCAAATATAAACATTGAACAACTGTAATTGCATTTCATTCACAAAATCAATTGCTGACATGATATGAAAATATTGGACTGAGAAAAGCATAAATTTGGGAAACAAGAAAAAAGGGTATACCAACTACTTTGTATGACTGACTAACTGGGATCGGACAGACGGGTAACTCGTTTCATTGTCTCCATGTGAACTGTGGCCTTACATTTCCGATAATATGCTGATCTAGGCCCCAAGGATGAATGTATAGGCAATGAAAAACGAACCTCAGAAATGGTGTCACACTGTCCATTTTAAATGAGCTATGACTCTTTATAAAACTTCCAAGTTCATTGGAAAAGAAACCACAAAGGACACTAAGCTTTTTAAAAGGGTTGTGCTTCTTAAAGTGGGGGCAATAGAGAGAACAAACTGCAGCAGATAGAAAAAACTGAAAGAAAAAGAGCGCGAGCAAGAGAAAAGATAACTTTCAAGCATTTGTAACCTTTGAATTCTTAATCCCAACTTCAAGTAACTTAGAACTTCAACTCCGCAGGATTTATTGGGCAGTTACTACTCATTAGGAAGGTCAAATATCATTTCCTGTATAATAAATAACATGCAAATAAATCTCATCAATGTTCATGTTAATGTATAATCTATTGTTATCCAAACAAAGATATTAAAATTTCAGACAAACCTTATCGCATACAGGACAGGTGTCACTTCTTTCCATCCATTCTAAGATGCAAGCAAGGTGAAAATGATGCTCGCATTTTGTAATAATTCTTGGATTCTCAGTATCATACTCTGCAAGGAGAGAGAAAACAACTCAATTAACATCGGGAGGCTATGAGTTGCAAGGAATGAAAGAGTTACAGAAAGGAAACCACCTTCCAGACAGGTGGGACAAACATCCTCCTCTATCACTGAAACAACAGGTTCAATTGACTTTGAAAGCTCAACTTCCAGCTCCTTCACTGATTCAGGTTCAAAATTGGCTTCAGTTTTGCTTTCTGATTCCTTTAGATCTTCACACTTCACAGGTTCTTGAGTATTGCCACCACCTGTTTCTTGAACAGGATCAGTAGTTGTTTGCACTGGTGCATCACTCTTACTGCTGCAAATTTCTTGAGTCACTGGTGGAGTTTGAGGACGCCCTAAACTCACATCGAAAGGTATCGGGGCAGGTGGTGGCCTATAAGCATTGGGGACTGATGTATCCAGATTTGTATCAACCAGGAGTCCAGTGGAGAGTGCAGAGGTGGCACCATGGTGAGATGATAAGGGCACATGCTCTTCTGATGCTCTTGGATACTGTGAAGTTCCAAAGATAGGAAAAATAAATAAACAGAACACAATGAATAGAATACATAGTAAATTTCATGCCCTTCCGTCACAGAGTAGTAGCTGCAACAGAATCTCACTACCTAATCGAAATTGAGAATAAAAGGACTAGAAACAGCCATTATTGAAGCAACAAAATCAAAAGTCAACTCAGCATTCTAACATTCACCAATTTACAATCAGATATTTGTTTTCCAGAATTGATATGAATCTTCAAACTCAGAAGCCATAATGACTGAGAAGCACAGAATTGATTAATGAGGTACAGTAAATAGATATTCAAGCACCAGACACAACACAATCAAAAGTGCCATGCACTTTACAGAATGCAGCCAAAACTTCGGTCAATTCAGTGACTAAAGAAGCATGATCTTTGTTCATGATACTAGAAAGAACCATGTGGTTGAATTTTATGAAAGAGACTACAGCAATCTTCCACTGGAATGGCTCTTGCATTGAGTCATAAGTCAAATATGTAGTATATCTAACTACATCACAACTATTAGAATAAAATAAAATATAGTATAACAAGACTTGTTATCACCACATTATTCCATTCAACTAATACCAAAAAAGAAAGGTACAAAGATTGCCCAAGCAGCATACTGATGTTCCGTTGCTCTCAAAACAAAATTATGCAGTAAAGCTAACATATGTATAATAAAGATGTTCTGCTCAATAACAATTAACAATCAAATGGAGAAGAAAGACTTCTAATGCTGAGGAAAAGATAATACTGACATAATAGTATGCTGGAGAACTAATTCTCTCAGCTCCTTTTGAAGAACAACAGCAGCAGCCTCCCATTTCCTTTTACTTATCTCTGCCCATCTAAATGTGTAGGCCTTGATGCATGGATTCCTGTTTTCAGTGAATAATACAGCCGAAATTAGGTTTGTGCAACTTAAAAAATTGATACTTTTTAAAGCCAAAGAATGACGTAGTATAGGCAGGCAGAAGAGAGAAGAGATCAAGATGGAAGGAGAAAGAGAAAAAAGATATGGAATATAGTAAGAAAAGAAGGAGAATATTAGGGAAAATTAAGAGAGAAGCCAATTTTTCATTAAACATCTAATTTGCAAAAGAGGAAACAGAAATATTCTTTAAGCAATAAATACACATCTAACTTTTTCAAGTAATACAGGACCCAAATCTCTGAATTGCTATAGTCAAAATATTTTGCAAAATGACTGATTAAACTTGGTTTTTAGTTTTGCATGAAAGACTGTCCTGCATGTAAGTGCAATTAGAAAGAAAAACCCAGAAGAACAAGTGACACTGCAACTGATATGTCAATAGAGAAAGGAAAAAAGCAACAGTAAGGTGGCAATATTGTCAAACATTCCGTGAGAAAACACAAGAAGAACAACTCCATGATGTAGTACATCCTGAAGGAGACAAAATATAAAAAGTAAGAAACCAAAAACACTTTCATGGTATACAATGATACAGTTAACAAAATTTCCATTAACAATCTCCACATAAATAACTAGCAGAATTAAGATCAAAGTACCAAAGGAAAATCAAAGCTGAAACTAGGTATTGAAACACAAAATCACGTTATTTATTGAAAAAACACAGTACGATAAAATTATTTTCAAAACAACACAACCTATTCAACTATGCAGATATAATCAACTAAACTTAAACATTCATTTGGATCCTCTGGAGAAACATAATTCGAACTTCAGCCACAACCATTTCCAATAAACCACCTATTGGGTTTAGGTCACTTTCTCAACCACAAGATTTTCTCCACAGAGACCACCAAATTTTACGAAAACAAATTCGCAAATCTTCTCATAGTCACTACGAGTAAAGCGAACAAACACCAAAAGAATCATGATAAACATAGGGGAAAAAAAAACTAATTCAGTCTTTGAATATTATTTCAATGGTAAACTCATAGCATAAACAACTATCAAAGCACGCTTTTCTCATCAACTCCATAAAAAAACCAAAATATATGTTCTATCAACCTTAATCAAACAGTTTCACCATATCTCAAAACACTAGCATAACTCAAAGCAGCAACCAACCAAAAAAGAAAAAAAGTATAAGAATCACAAACTTACTAAAGTACAGAGAGATGTAATCAGGAAAACAATCAATAAATCAATAACTCCAAACAAAAACAAAAAAATCACATCAAATGATATAATATAATTAAAAAGTAAACCCTACCAAATCATAAGCTGAGCAAAACAAATAACATCTACTTATAAAAACAATGAAGCTATTACTGCAAATCATAAAAAACGTTCCACAATCACAAAACAAAAACACTATGTGAAAAATAAAATCACATAACAGATGAAAGGCAGCATGAATACCACCCAAAAACAACCTTGCCCACGAAGATGACTGTCGGCCGCCCCCAATAGTCACCGAAACGGTGTCACGACCAACTAGATTTGGACGATCATAGCGATTTAGCTGAAAAATAGTAGAAACAACCAAATCGATGGCCAAAAAAAGCATAGATAGGCTTCCGACTAGATCAGCGCCGCGGTCGACTAGAGTAACCGGTCGTGCAACGTTCCAACGATTGCCGACTATGTGGCAATGATGGCAGCAAGCGGCCAACAGTCTTTGGGTGGTGGGGAGTTGTTAAATTTTAATTTTTATTGGGGCTAGAGTGTTTAGCTATATTCTCAAATATAGAGGGTAAAAGTAATACTCTAAATACAATGTACAACAGTTGATTAATTACACAACATCCATGGAAAAAAGACAGAAGGGGCAGGAGTTTTTCCATAAGCCTCAGTTTTTCAGGTTCCATTTCCAGGAGCTGAATACAATGTACAACAGACAATTAATGGGGCTTCTGCACCTAAGGATCAGCTTGTCCAGCTACTGCTTCATCGCTTGATGCATATTCATCTCACTCAGCTCCTCATCACTTGATTTTTCCTCTGTGGCCAGACAGCATCTTCTGGCTTGGCATATTTCTCACAATACTCTTACAAAATCAAACAATCGTCCATGGGGTCAGAACTCGGAATTTAATATATGCATCGCCACGATCAATATAAACAACATGTTGCATATGGGTCAAACTCAATGGTAACTTGATTGTGACTCAAATTACATTTCTGGTCACAAATACTTCTAACTTTTTACACTCTCTGAACCAAAAATAAACAATTTGCAGCCAAGGAGAAAAAAAGGACATCATGTATGCCTAAGAGATTCACAATTGGTCAGATGTTACGATAACATGATGGAAATTTATAATCTCCCATCCTTTCGTTAACCACTACATGGTTAACTGAACAGAGTTGATACTGAAAAGACAGCCTAACAGGCCAACAGCAAAAAACACATCACTTCATGCTATATATAACCAATTTTAGAGAATTACACCAGAACACTGCAAAGTTTCCCTAGTAAACGAAATTCTGTAAAGCAAGTCTTTGGAAAGATCATGCAGTAAAGAAAGCAACAAACATAGCTGCTCTTCAACCACCCTAATAATTTCCAATGTTTGATATAAATGACAACTAATCCATCCTTCCACGTTCTAATAGTAAATACAACCATGTTCCAGTTAATGTACTAGCTGAATGTATCTACCTTCAACAATTCTTCCCAATTTAATGAATATATAAACTTTAACAACACTTGCAGCTCCAACCCACAGGAAAAACCTTTTGAGATTTAAAATTCTCTCTAAAGCTATGCAAGTAAAGAGGGTTGAAGTTGTTGGTTCTTGTTCAGCTTAAAAGACTATTATATGCATCAACCTTGCTCCTATAATCAGAGATTAAAATAAGGTAAACAGTTTCATTCTTCAAATTCTTGAAGTAATATGTCCCTGCAATACGAATATCCACACACCCCCAGAGCCCTGGTTAGAAGACAAGGCACATCTGTTGGCTTGATTTCATTCTATAAAGAGAGAATCACAACTCCCTACAAGCTAAAATCAATTAGGAAAGGATCATGCTCTAAACCAGAGCATATAGTTTAGTCAAGGATCTGTCAATTAAAAAATTGAGAAAAATGAATTGTGGATTGATACTCAAACAAGTCATTGGAAATGCGAATGCACAGCTAGAGACATAAGTAATTTTTAAGTTGATACCTTTCACTCTTGTTCGTAAGTATTATGATCACGCTCATTAGAGCACCAGCTTCTCATTCATGGGTGTGATGGTGTAGGATACAAAAGAGTTGAGGAAGAAAAACTTCAAATACATTAACCAGATCTGCAAAGAATTGAAGAGAAGAGAAAAGAAAGTTCAGTCACCAATTCACATGGGAACAGCACTAAATGACAGGCAAAGCAACAGGAAAAAAGAAAGTGTGAAAGAAATTGATATCAGAGCTCTGAAAATTTAGCATGATATTGTATGAATAAAGGATGATAATTTTCAACGTTTACCAAACATAGGGCTCAAGTTCATTGATAACATCTAAACAAACTGAACCAGACCTGAAAACTCAAACAAAAAATAATTAATGTCCTCAGCCAACTTATCAAAATGACTGTTCCATATACAGACCATAAAAAAAATCACCATCATTCAAACAAGTAAAAGTAGTGAAATATAACACAACTCACATTCATAATATTGGATGATATATCTTGTTAACAAAGCCAATAATGGGAGAATTATAAGGATAAGATCTGGCAGCCACCCTATCTTCCACACACCTCCCTGATAAGGACCTTTCACATTCCACATAAAACTTCTCAAAGAGAGGTTAATAAAAAAAAAATTAAAAAAAAAAAATAATAATAAATAATAATAAAAAAAAAAAAAAAGACAGGAGAGAGAGGGGAGAACAATTTTGTTCCAAACCAAAACTACCAATTCATTTACCAATAAACTCTATAATCACGGAGGAAAATCAATGAACAACAAAGTTGTAGCTCGTATGATACAATAATTAGGGAAAAATATAAACAAAATATAAATAAAAGGCAGCATATATCAGCAGTCAAAAAGTGATCAAATCAAAAAAACACACCAGATGCTCTGAAAAAAGCAACAAAATTAAGTGGAAAAAATCATGCTCTATTTACAGTTAGATCATCAACTTGAGCATCTACACCTGGTCTTCACTGTTATAGAAACAATCAACCGAAAAAATAATAATAATCCAGAAAGGAAATAAAAAACATAAAAAATAGTTGAATTAAACTCATAGATCATCTAAAAACAAAGAAACAAAAAGTGAATTGATTGTTTTACTCTCTTTGGTCCATTGAATTCCACATAGAACTCTTGCATGCTGTCATGATCGTCTCCACTTATAGTCATCATCATCCTAGTTCACATCAATCAAACCCAAAAAAAATAAATAAATTTAAAAAAAAAAAAAAGACAAAAAAATCAAAATAAACGCAAACCACGAAAATTAAAAAAAATATAAAATAAAAAGAAATTACAGTTTCATAAATCCATTTCTCGGCGTTGCTGGTGAAGACATTTTTGGGTTTTTATTCGTTGGGATTTGGTGATAAAAAGATAATACAGCACCCTCCAGAAACAGAGAACAAGCAAAGTGGGTTCAGACATCCAATGGTGAACGAGAGGACTGTATATAGATGCCCGCAAGCCGGCTACATAAAGTTTGCAGTAATTTTCTAGTTTTACTCACAACTATAACAGCCATTCTTGAAAATTTTCTGCTGTGCAAGTACCATCGCCTAATTATTGAATTTTTTTACAGGGTATCTCTGTAATGATTGTGTGAATAATTTGCACAATCGAATGACGTGAAATAAAAAAAATCTATTAAAGGGTTTTACGGTATTATTTGTCATATTAAATTTGCGTCATATTTATCAATGGTAAATATAGAATGGAAGAGGAAGGTTAACAACACTTAATAATAAAGAATTATTGGGTGAATTTTATTTTCAATTTGTATCATATTTCGCAATTTAATATGTAATTTAAAATGGAAAGGGAAGTTAAGTGTCTAACCTAAATTTAGAAAATGAAAGGGGTATGAGAAAAATGAGATTTTTTTTTTTTTTTTTTAAACCAGGTGTCCAAGCTCGGTTACGCCCATCTGAATTCTCGATTAATCCCTGTAGATGACTAGCATAATATGCTACCGTCCTAATCATGTGATTAAATCTTGGGAGCCAAGAGATTCAAACCTGAGACTGTGCGTCTTAACACTTACTCAACACTCGTCCTACCATTGAGGAAAAAGAGATGTTGATGTTTGAAAATGATGAGGATTTTTTAGCTGAATATTATGCTTTGTTTCTTGATATATGATATTGCAAAGAAGAGGAAAACCTGGTTATCAAATCGTGATGTATCGTGTATCGAAAACCTAATTTTTCAAATCGTGTATTGCGTATCGTATCGTATCGTATCGTATGTATCGCAGGATACGCCTTTTCAAAAAAATTAATAAAAATAATAAATTTTTTCTAAAAAATTAATATCATTCCT